ATTATTTTTTGATTTTTCATACTGAACAAGTAAAAGTGAACGGAGGGAATACTTGCCAATTTTCGCACATAAAGAGAGTTTTTTTCTTCATCTTTTATCCTCGGCATAAATTACTTATTCTCTAAATTGTATATTTTCCAATACTTGAAACTAAATATCAATAAATATGAATATCATTATAAAATAACAGACATGCAAAGTCGAAATAATATTGATCACTAAGTAGTAGTAGTATCAAATAATAATTCTAGTTAAATTCCCATAATCTTAAAGAAATAAATACAGTACATCTTCTTGGCAGCTGAATTGACAATTTTCTGCCTCTAACCATGCTTTGCGCTAATAAAACATGCTATTAGTATTTAATTAAATTGACTAAAATAGGGCTAATTTTGGTGCTTTGTTAGATGATGAGTTGTAATTACAAGGACATGTACAATATAATACTAATTAAGATTTAACTGACAAAGACAGGGGGGGAAACAGAATGAAAATAGGGTTTAGTGTTCACACCTCTAATGACAAACCTAAGTTTTATATTAATTTTAATTAGTAGCTCTATTGATAGAATTCCCAAATCAAAATTAAATTTGATTAGAACAAAGATTTATAATAAGGGCAAAAAGGTTGTTTAGATGTTAACCCTTTGGACCATACTGAATCTCTCGAGTCATTTTTGCTTCTCAAGTTTTCTTTTAATAACCATTGATGTTGTCTGAGTCAATTTGCGCTGATTTTAATTTATTTCACGTGATATTTGCTATAAGTAGTACTAGCTAGTTTGATTACTAGATAACTAAAAAAAAATTGATAAACGAAAAGAAAACACCTAACCACAGATTATTATTAAGACATACCCTTTGATGCTATTTTTCTTTATCGTAGAGTAATGTAAGGATCAAATAGAAAATAATAATCTCTTCGGGGACATCCGACAAAATTTGAACGATATGAATACAAAGTAATATATGTTCAAATATATATAGGTTCTACTTTAAAGAAATTTAAATACAAAATTTAACTCTAATTTGTTATAATACTAAACTTTAAAAAGGGAAAAAAAAAAGTGACAGCTGTGGGATTTGAACCCACGCCCTTTCGGACCAGAGCCTAAATCTGGCGCCTTAGACCACTCGGCCAAACCGTCTTATATACCTTCTTGGTTGCTAGTTTATTTCTTATAGGTTATTTACATTGTTGAGAACATATAGACCTCTTTGACCAAGACCTTTAGATATCAAATGAAGAAAAAAAAAACTTTGATTAATCAATTTAAGATTTGTTTAGAGTTATGCAAGTATTAGTAATGTAAAAATTGGTTACAAATAAATTTATGTATTATTTTATATCGATATTAGTTATGCAGAGATTATATTCCCACCTTCTATCCTGCAAAAAATAATACATATATAAATTTCTCAAAACTTATACATGTATTAGTCATGGGGGTTTCTAAATTGTCAACCAAACATCACATTAATTTTATACATGAATCACTTATTTCATATTTATCCATCAAACATCATATAAGTTATACAAAAATTAATACATGAATAACTTGTTTCTTATTCAGCTATACCAGTTAGTTCATAAATATTACCGATAAATTTGATAATTTGATGGTAATATTATCCAAACTAACTACTCATTCCCAAAAAGACTTGAACTCAAGATCGCCTATGATTAAGAATAAAGAAGTATTTACCATTTTACATAACTTGTTGATGAGTTTCGTTAAAGTGTGTACATGTAGCTTAATTTGTCTTAGTAAATCTAACCGGAATCCTACCTATCGCATTAAAATATTAATAAGCGTTACTTAAGTTGCATTATCCTCTAATAATTATCGTCTTCTTTAATAAGGTAATCAACTTAAATAAGTATGTCTTGACAATTATCATAAGTTTATGGGTGTTTAATTCAATACTTCTCTTTTTTATATATTATCTATGTTCTACTTTATGTAATCCCTGGTTCTTTTTAGTCCATTAATTAGAAAAAATGGCAAATTAAAAAATTGAAAAAACAATTAATTAATTTTAAATTGTTCATTTTAGCCTTAACAAGATGTTTTCAATAATTATATCAATACTATTATAACATGTTTAAGGCAATAAGTTTATCAAAATGTCTCTACTTCACGAAGGGTAAGATTTGCGAACCTCACCTAGCTCTCCAAATCCTCACTTAATTATAATATCACACGAAATATGTTATTATTGTTATTGTTATTAAGTCTCAAAAGTTTCATAGGAACAGAATATATATCATGTCATACCTAAAAATTAAAATCACAAAGTTCCAAAGTTGATTATTCATTTTTAAAATATTAGATAGTACTTACGTAAGAAATAGTAATGCAGTCAAAAAATTTGAGTACGGATTACTCAATAATTATATAGGAAGACGACAAACAACACTACAAAAAATAATAATACTGTTCCATCATTTTAAAATAATAAACAGAAAAAGAGACTTTCTTCAATGGTTTACTTGTAGCTTTGCCTAAGAAATCTGGACAGAATCATACTGATTCCATTAAAATAATAAACCTAAGTCAAGTTGCATAATTATATATTGTATTTTTAAATCAGGTATACTGTACAACTTTAATCAGTAATTGAATAATTTAATCTTGCATTTTAATAATGTATAAAGTAATCAAGTCTATGTTTGTTAAGCATCAATAGTTGTGAAGGTTTGGAAGACAAAAATAAATTAACATAGCTCAAGATGAATAAAGCCAAGAAAATATTAAATTGGAAAGGGTAATTAAGGAATTCCAATTGTAAAAGAATTGAAGCCCTAGAGAATGTATTGTATATATGAGAATTTTTTTTACTTCAAATCCCTTAAAAAGGATGTTTATCGAGAATATGGTAATTCTAAATTTCTTCTGTCTTAATTTATGTCTTGCCTTTCATGTTAGTCCTATTTTTAATAGAGTACTCTAATTTTGACATTCTCATTTCACTATCTTATAGAATTAATTAACATGACATATTTAATATCTTAAGATTCAAAGGACGATATATTTTGTATATTATACACATCGCTTTGAACGGAAGAAGGGGAAAATATCCAAATTGGTCCTTTACTTTGTGAAATAGTCCACATTTACCTTTTATTAAACGTTGGGGTCAATATATTATTATCATTATGAAATTGACCCATGCCTCTTTTTTTTCATTGAAGATCTATCAAAAATAATCTTTTGACCTTCGTAAAAAAAGATAAGAATGTATACCAGAAAGGAACAACGACATCATTGTGAAATATAAAAGAGTGAAGATATAGGATTCTTGGTAAAACAAGAAAGGAACAAAGACATCATTGAAATATAAAAGAGTACTTTGATTTCTCTCTCTCTTTGTATGGTTAACCCCCAAACAAAACACATGTTCTTTCTTCTGGTTCAGTAAGAGTTGTTTGATTTAAATACAAGTTATAATGAAGAGATAAATTATATGATGAAATTTATTATGCTAAAATTATTTTTTATTGAATTGGACAGTTAAATTATTTCCAGTCTAAATAAGGTAGTGCCTAATGTCATCGAGAGTGAGTTGGTAGGGGGCTTGAGATCTTGAGAATGGATCAAGGAAATCGTCTAGTAGTCTCTGACTTGGTCTTCGAACCCCAAGTCTCAGCCCCATCCTGACTTGCCTCGCTATCAGAATGACCTATCTACTTGACTAAGTTTTAGTTTTTTGTATTCAAAATAATATGCATTGCATAAATTTTAAGAATAAGTTAAATTGTCTACAAAAATGTCATTCATGAATGTGAAAGGGGATGTATAAAAAGGATTTAAATGGATATCTTTATCATTTACCTATTTTATTTCGGAAAAAGTTATCTCGAAATTAATATACCACCTACCGGAGGTATAACTTATCGCAATACTTATTATTTATTCCAAAATACGTTATTCTTAACTTGCCAACTAAACAATAAATTAAGCAACACTATAATTTAATCTCAGAACTAATTCATGTTATCCTTCACATCAAACGATCTTGTACCTCCAATATTCTTACTCCCACTTGGTGTTAACTGATTTCAAGTACGTGATGAGATATCAAATCCATTTTTATTTCCTTTTGATATTTGTACAATAATAATTATTAGTACTTTAGTACACGTAACACGTACAATAGTGTGATAAGGCATAAGAACTTCTGAATTATAAATAGTTACTTCATATTTAATTTATACGAGGTTTTATTAATCTTCTGGATTTAATTTTTTAATATTATTTTCATCTCTAAACCATTCAATGTTTTGTTGCACTCTAAACCTAATTCTCAAGATTGTACTAATTTTTGTGGTTAACCTATTGTGTCTATTAAGATGTTGTTATTGCATAGTTAGATGGACTTTTGCACTGAATTTTGTATCTATAAAATTGCGTCACTCATTTTTAAATATCTAATATTTTGTACAGATTTATTTCATTTATGAAATTGTCATACTTGCAAAGTTAATTAATTAAATTGTTCAGCTCATGTGTGTACTTGATAAATTCAGGATTACCCGGTGACCCTGTCTGAATTCCACTTTCACTAATTAATTAATTAACTAATTGTGGCATTTGTCTGGTGGTCGTTTGTGTTAGTCTACCTTAGGTCCCACAACAAATTGTTGTAAAGAATTTTTATGTCTACCTCAACTTTTATTCTACGTGCCACACTTATAACATTGCTTTGATTATCGTATTATATGTTGTTTTTACTATTCTTTTCTCCATTATATTCAGAATGACTATGCTACGTACTTTACTATTGTATTGATCCCCCTTTTCATGCTTGATTTATTATGTTTATAATTACTCGAGTTGAGTGTCTATTGAACTCCCCACCTTCACAAGGTAAAAATAAGACTGCATTTGCATCACTCTCTTCAAATTTCACATATTGAATTACGCTGAATATGTTGGTGTAGTTGTATTAATTGTGTAAAGAATTCTCATAATCTCAAGTTTTATTTGCTTGCTTTGAACTCATATACTATTTACAAAAACCACAAAGTTAGTGTGCAAATTCAAGAGCTCTCTTCCCTTCTCTCTTCTTTGACCTTCTTTCTCTTTGGTCATTTGAAATTCTTTGGGAAAAAAAACATTAACTCCAATTATTTTCTCTCTCACTTTCTTGGCCTTTAATTTCTAACATATGTTAGGGACAAAAAGGTAAATAAATAAAAGAATCATGGCATTAGAGACAGTGGTTTACCCTCAAAAACAATATAATGGCTATGTTTGTAAAGAATTTTATGGCTATGAAGAGCAAGAAAGTTCCATTATTCTTGACAATAATTGGAAGTACACTTCATCTTGTAATTATTCAATGATGCAAAATCAAGTGAAATTAGGAGATTGCAATATTGTTGAGGAGAATAGTAATAATATGCTGTTTTTGGAGGGTTCATCTGCAAATTCAAATTCTTTAAGGTGTTGCACGAAGAAAAGGAAACGAACATGTAATAATAAAGACCAGAGAATGATACATATAGCTGTGGAGCGAAATCGGCGAAAACAAATGAATGATTATCTTACTATTCTTCGATCTTTGATACCATCTTCCTACGTTCAAAGAGTTTGTTTTCTTCTTCTCCTCTTTTTTTTAAAGAAAGTTATTTCAATCGAATCGTCTTAAATGAATGAATTTGACCTTTAAAAATTTCAAATGATCATTCAATTACTATTTCTTTTAATGAAGTTTTCCTTTGTTTCTTAAAAATAAAATTACATCTATTTTCAAGTTGATTAAAGTAATTACTTGTCCAAATTAAACTAGTTAATTTACTAGGAGTATCAATTACATTCAAATCTAATTTGGCCATCAAATTTGAAGTACTAGTGAAATACTAATATTGCTTTATTAAATTCAATAAAGATATTATCCAATCCTTTAAAAATATTTTTGTATTTCTAGGACTTTATTGTATTATATAGTTTAATAAGTTCCGATGAAATTAATTAAAGAGAATTCTTTATTATTGTCAGGCGGACCAAGCATCAATAATTGGAGGAGCCATAAACTTTGTAAAAGAGCTAGAGCATAATCTCCAAACTCTACAAGCTCAAAAGACATTAATTTCTCAGCTCGAAAAAAGCGATATATCATCATCACCATTTTTTGCTGATTTCTTCTCTTTCCCACGATACTCAAATTGTTCATGTGAGTCATCAGTAGCAGTCGAGAAATCTCGACCACTACTGATGAGTCATGACATACAAGTGAACTTAGTAGAGAGTCATGTCAACCTCAAAATAGTCTCAAAGAGAAGACCAAAACAACTCATGAAGATAGTAGTTGGCCTTCAATGCTTGTGGCTTACTATTCTTCACCTTAATGTCACTACTGTTCATGACCAAATTGTTCTTTACTCCATCAGTACTAAGGTTTGTCATTAATTCTTTTTTGCATCTCTCCATATTATATTTTGTACATAGATACTCGCATTCTGTGTTTACACCAAATTAAACGTATAATAATGTCATCATAAGAGTCATGATTAAATTAGAATAAGACACATAAGCCTAACTTTTTTAGGTCATGAATCCCCCACTTTTTATGGACAAATAGTTGTAGTTATTTTTTGAATTTAACTCAACTCTCAAGAATTTTAGTACTATCATATGATAAGTTACAAATACTCTTTTATGAAGAGTTATCTAAAAATATATTTTGTGTGATATCATAGTGTAATTTTTTTTAATACTATTGGTGTTATAACTCAAAAATCTCTTGTAAATGATATGATATTGTGAAAATTCTCTATTAAGGGCAAAATGCATGAATATCCAATTTTGATGTTAACATAACTTGTCCCTAACTTTTTTAAATTTTTTATGTATACCTATTTCGGAATAACTTAGAGCATACAATGTACGAATAAAATTAGTCCTGACAGAGTTTAATTTCAAACACAATATCTAAATTAAATTTTGGATAACTGAAGTTCAAATTCATATGACTGAAATCTATGCATATAAGTTGAGTTATTTTCCCCTCTTATTTCTCTCTCTAGATATATAATATTCTTTTTCATTTACAAATCAAACGTTTCATTTATTAATTCATATATATTGTGTGCAATATGGATGAAAATTTGGAACAGCTAGAGGAAGGGTGCCAATTGACAACAGTAGAAGAAATTTCTCATGCTGTTAACCAATTATTGGATAGAATTCAAGAAGAGGAGGCTACTTCAAGTTCAAACTAATAATTTTTTTCTCAAAAATATAATAGCTCTTGTTTATTTAATTTCTATATGTATCAACTTTTCTTCTTTTAATCATTTTTATTAGTTTAGTACTACCTTCTTAATCATTATAAATTTATAAATACTACCTTTCATAGTCTCAAGGAGAATGATTGATGTTTATTTAATTTCTATATGTATCAACTTTTCTTCTTTTAATCATTTTTATTAGTTTAGTACTACCTTCTTAATCATTATAAATTTATAAATACTACCTTTCATAGTCTCAAGGAGAATGATTGATGTTTATTTAATTTCTATATGTATCAACTTTTCTTCTTTTAATCATTTTTATTAGTTTAGTACTACCTTCTTAATCATTATAAATTTATAAATACTACCTTTCATAGTCTCAAGGAGAATGATTGATGTTTATTTAATTTCTATATGTATCAACTTTTCTTCTTTTAATCATTTTTATTAGTTTAGTACTACCTTCTTAATCATTATAAATTTATAAATACTACCTTTCATAGTCTCAAGGAGAATGATTGATGTTTATTTAATTTCTATATGTATCAACTTTTCTTCTTTTAATCATTTTTATTAGTTTAGTACTACCTTCTTAATCATTATAAATTTATAAATACTACCTTTCATAGTCTCAAGGAGAATGATTGATGTTTATTTAATTTCTATATGTATCAACTTTTCTTCTTTTAATCATTTTTATTAGTTTAGTACTACCTTCTTAATCATTATAAATTTATAAATACTACCTTTCATAGTCTCAAGGAGAATGATTGATGTTTATTTAATTTCTATATGTATCAACTTTTCTTCTTTTAATCATTTTTATTAGTTTAGTACTACCTTCTTAATCATTATAAATTTATAAATACTACCTTTCATAGTCTCAAGGAGAATGATTGATGTTTATTTAATTTCTATATGTATCAACTTTTCTTCTTTTAATCATTTTTATTAGTTTAGTACTACCTTCTTAATCATTATAAATTTATAAATACTACCTTTCATAGTCTCAAGGAGAATGATTGAATTTTCTTGACATAAAACAATTCTAGTGTCTATGCAAATTGAGTTTGAAATTCTAGATAGATTTAGTCCAAACCCTTTCAGGTAAGGGTGGGCATAAATATTGAAAACTTAGATCGAACTGAATTAGTTTCATTCTTCAATTTTCGGTATTTTTATTCAGGTTCAATATAATTTTTCTAATAATATGATATTTAGGTTTAATGGACCTCGATATTATGTATCTGATTTTTCGATTAGTACAAAAGTTCAATAATCAATTCTTCAAATTTCATACTTGAACTCAAGTCTCAAGCCCATAAATTTCAACTCAAGTTCTAAGCCCGTAACCCATTCCCAAATTAAGAAATCGAACAAATGAACCGAACTTTTTAAAACTCAAATCAAAGTTTGAAAGAATCGAACACCCCACTTGTCGTGCAAAAAATGTCATCTTAGTGAAACCTAGCTAGCCTAGAATATATATTTACACACATTTAATTGTCTTTTATGAAGTCTAGCTAATCTAGTCATTTTTAGGAGAACCGGTCTATAATTGGGGATTGTCAAATCTACTTCAATCAAATTGACATATTACATAGTAATTCAATGTATCAGTTATTTCGTATAAAATAATATACAGATTTTCTCATAATTTATCAATATATTAGTTTTACGGATTTTTAAATTATCAATCAAACATTGCATTCATTTTATTCTTATCTACCTACCAAACGTCGTATAAATTATACAAAAATTAATATATGAATAATTTATTTCTTATCCATCTATCAAACGACTCCTAAATGATTGTTATATCAGCTTACTATACTACTTTTAATAAACTTAATAAAATAAAACAAAATTCAAGATATTTTCCAAAACAAAAATTAATTACGTAGATATTAATGAGCATGTTGCAATGCGCTAATTAGAGTTTAATTTCCAATTAATTAATAGGGTGCCTTGCTGGAATCTGTTGTGCCACCCAAATACTTTGGGCCTAGGGGGAGAGGAGCTGGGTGGGTAATTTTTTTTCACAAAACCGACTCCGTATCAAAATGGACTCGAACATGAGATCTCTGGTTACGTATGAAAAAGTACTTGCAACTTCACCGTAACCTTTTGTTGGTGGATGGGTAAAATTTAGACATACTCAATGTTTAGGATTTTTTCTTCTTCTAAAACTCAGTCTGATAACGAAAAAGTAAATATGCCTCATTTGTTAGATGATAAGGATATATGTACATTATTTGTTAAACGACAAGGATATATGTGTACCACTTTTACCACGATGTATATATCCACGTCAAATCGCAAAGTTGTGGCACAAAACATTACAAATGATCTTGAAGTTGTACAACAAAGTGCAAGTCTCAGTAAGACTTCAGTCCTTACATCAATTACCATGTCTCTCATCTTCTTCTTTTTTTTGTCTGTTCGGACTCCACATTAGAGCTCCGAGCACGACTCATTTCTCTTACTTTTCGAAAAAAATGACCTCCCACCATAAGAAAATGATCTCTTCATTGAAGAAGCACTGTCCATGACCCTTTGGATTCTTGAATTTGAACTTGTTCCCTCATTCCTTTTTGTCTCAACACATCTTTTTTCACTTTGTAGTCCTATATTTGTAGCAATTGAAGAATCCATAGATACTGACCTTCGCATTTTTTGTAATATTTCAACATCTTTTTTCGATGTTTCAGGACGTTCATCATGATCATCGTTTTCTTGAAATTCCCCTTCTCTAGCCTCATTGTTGTCGTTCATTTCTACAATAACAACATCTCTTTGTGAACCAATATCATTATTAGTACTCGATATGGGAACGATTATTGATGATCCCACGGGTGCAACAACAGTGTTGGAGATGATAGGAGCACGACACAACGGGCAATTAACGTGTGATCTAAGCCACATATCGATACAATCGATGTGAAAGGCATGGTTACATTTAGGTAACAACTTAAGTGACTCATCATCTTGAAATTCATTCAAACAAACAGAGCACTCTGTTCCATCAATTAAACCATCCCCTGTTTTGTACTTGAAAATTGTAATCAAATTGATTAAACAAGCCTCAATTCCCATAGTATTGATGTACCAAATTGGATGATCAATAATCAACTCATCGTTATCGCCTTCTCCTCTCGTTCTTCTACGATTCCAATTCGAGCAATTTCTTACGATGATTATGTAGTAGCTAACGAGTAGGAACAAGCTAACAAATAACGCGATGGATATAATAATATAAGGTAAAATGTTTTGAACAACTTTGTTGCTCGATTCGATTGGTGCTGGTGGTGGTGCTGACATGTAATAGTTCATATTAGGGTATGGATAGCATCCATAAGGACATGTTGAGTCACAAATATTATGGCAATTTGTTGTTTGGTTTGAAGTTGGAAATAGCATTCTTGGCCTCATGGCCAATGACAAGATTAAAAGAAAGAAAAAAAATGTGAATATATTGAAAAGGGGGTGTTTGGTATGAATAAAGAAAATATAATAATGAAGTTAGGTTAAGTTGTGGGTAGAAAATGATGATGATTTAGTTGAGAAGTCATTGTGAGCCATGTATATAAAATTTATCTCAATAATGTGTAGTTGACAACTAGGAAGCGTAGCAAGACAGTTTTGTGAAAAACTCATACTCCTCCCAATTTATATAGCACGTTTGATTATTTTTTTAAAAAAATAAATAAAAAGGACTTCGAAAATTTATTGTGATACAAAACAACACTTGGGGGTTGTTTTGGTGGAAAGAAATTATTTTGGGATTAATCATTTCTGGATAAGTTATTTTATTGTGTATATGAGATAATTTATTCATCACTAAGGTATAAATGGTGGAATAAATAATCTCACGAGTGTCTAATACCTTCAACCAAATGTATGATAAAATAGTCTTGCATTTTATTCCTGAAATTATTATACCTTATACCTCACACCTAACGATTTCTTAGGGTCTTTTTGAATTGACTTAGTTTAAGTATGACAAAATTAAAATAGCTTCTAAACATTTTTATAGTGTTTGGATAAAAAAAATATATATATTTGAGTATTTGTTTTGAAGTTAATGGAAATGAGTTCATCCAAACATGCCCTTAAAAACATGATTTGTACAACAAAAACTCTTAAAATTCCACAGTAGTCTAGGGAGGAAAAAATGTAAATCATCCATCACTGTCGTGATGACGTGGTTGAGTGTTCATTCTATCCAATGCCCGACCGATCAAACATATCTTTGGGTTCGATCCAACAAGTGATTCATGAAGGTAGAAAGATTTGTTTTTTTTATTCTTGATAAAATGATTTATATACATAAATATTTAATGTTTGTTCAGACCACAAATTTCAAAAGTATTCAACACATTTATTTCTTTTTTACACTTTGAGTCAAATCAAATGATACTCTCTTCAATTTAATTTATTTGTTTGGCTTTCCTTTTAAGTTCATAAAAAAATGTTTTTTTGTTAGACATGTGGAATTGGTTTTCTAATTTCATGTTTAAGATTATAAAATTAAATATTACTAAAATTTTGGATACATTTTACTTTTCTTTAGTTTAAAATTATAAAATTTAAAAAATATTTATTATTTTCTTAAATTTTATGTCAAATCAAAATCAGATAAATAATTTGAATCAGATAAAATAATTGATTTCTTAAAGGACTTGAAAATGTCAAATATGACAGTAGGACTGAGAGAGTACAATAGATTTGGTCAATTGGGTAAAGATAAAAAGTGGTGTACAATTTATCAAGGGCCACACAATTTATTTAGCAAAGGAGTATCTTATCAAAGTCAAATATTTGTAGGTCAATTAAAACTAAATTTTGTGTCAGAGAGTCAAGCTACAGATGAACAAAATAATTTGAATATAATTTAATCAATGGCACACACAAAAAAGAAGAAGTTGAAAGCAATGTAGATATATATTATAAAAAACAACATATCAGTGAAATTTTACTAGGTAGGATCGGTAGAGGCCAGAGGGTAAAGCGTACACAAATTTTACCACGACTTCGTAGAGATAAATAAGTTGTTTCTAAAAGACCTTACTCAAATGTATCAAACCTAGAAAATAAACGAACAAAACCATGAAGAAAGTTGAAGAGTTAATAAAATAATAATGTAAACTCTACGAGAAAGAAATTAGTATACAACTAGTACTACAACGAGAACTAATTAATAAGCCTAAGCAAGACACGCTCTAACCCAACTAACCTAATACGTAACATACACTCCTTTTTATCTAATGTCATGTCCTCTATAATATGAATTGATATTTATTATAATAAATAAATATTATTATAATGATAATGATATTAAAAAAAAGACATACAAATCATACAAATACAATATAATACAACTATACAAGTACATTACTAATACCACATGGCACATCTTGACAAATTTTAACCTTTTAAAATTATTTATGTCAATCCTTTATATATTTAAATAATTTGTACCTCAAAAAAGAACATTGACTTGGTAGTTTACCAGAAAAGGGAAGTTTGCACGGCCCAATCATCATTATTTGAAAATTCATAATATTTATTTTTAATTTTTTTAATTTAATAATATTTTTTCTAATTATAATAATAATATAATATTAACGATCTAACATTAATATTCGAAATAAAAAGTAATTTATAGATAAAAAGATGGACAAATAAATAAAAAATTTAAGCTTATAACATCGTAAATATTTGCTACACTTAATTAAGTAGTACCTATTTAATATTTCAAAAAATTATTAACTACCTCTTTTACTTGATAAATACTTAAATTATAATGGAGTAAATAGAGACTTTTTCTTTCCGAAAATAAATATGTTAAAGCTGATAACTCTTGCAGGGGACCCACATGAAAAAGAGATAAACAGTGGAGGTGCTTTTTTGTCTATCATGGAACATGTTCATACAATATAACATATAGTACAATACAATTAAAGCTTAAAGCTCTAGTGGAAAGCCTTAAATGACTAAAACACCCCTTAATTCAATTTTAAGAAACACACGTCAATGGTGTGATGGCTGTTTGATGTCTAATTGCCACTTATATAATAAGAGAAAACTTCATTGGGTTTATAAAAGATTGTGGATAATGTATTTAATAAGAAATTAAAAATTATTAAATTTATTATTCTCTTTGTTTTAATTTGATTGTCTTACTTTTCTTTTTAATCCATTTAAGAAATAATATCTCTCTTTTTTTTTTGGATTTCTACCGCAAGATTTTTGGTATAATTTACGTATCTTTAGTTTGATATCACACGATTTCAAAGTTTATTATTTTTTATTTAATTTTGTGTCAAATTAAAATCAGATGAAGAAATTAAAACGATAGGTATAATTCTTAAAATGAAGATTGATGCATATACACGTTATTTATGAAATTAGAAAGCATTTAAACTACTACAAAACTTTTGGCACAATAATTTATTTGGTACAATAAGTACCATAAAGGAAAATTAGAGGTTTATGAATACCATCGATAAAGATCATCGAAGAAAGTAGAGAGGAGTTGGTAAAAGATTGAAAGTATGAAAGGTGAGGGCAAATTAGTGAAGGAGCAAAAATGTTTGCATGGAAGCTACAGTATGGCTCATTCTCCACGAATGACAATGCTTGATTTTATCACATTTACATATACAAAAGTAGGATACAAATGACAATTTATGAAAAAATATTTAGTTTTATTGTCATTGAGTGTTCAAAACCAATTATTTAAGCCTAAGGTACAAGAAAATTGATACTTTAAACAAATACTATGAAAGGTAGAGTTATTAAGAGCACGGTTGTGGGGATGGGGCGCGGGCTATACATGTGGAAGTGAAGACGAGTTGTATTTTACATGGTAAAACCCGACCCGATTTGGATCCACGCACGACTCGTTTTATTTAAATCTTTCCCGTTTTATTTGAATTTTCCGCCATTGAAAGTGACTGTTCTGAAAGGTTGCAACTTTCAGAAACAGCCATGACCGTTTGAAAGGTTGCAAACTTTCATGAATGGTCGTGTGGATTCTGAAAGGATTGCAACCTTTCAGAACCAGTTCCTTTTGCCTATAAATACATTGATTCCTCAGATTTATTCCTTACGAATTTTCTGATTTCTTCTTCTTCTTCTGCACAAAATTTCTTCGTGTACTTTACTGTTGTTGAGTGGTTCGCTGACATCAGAGTTTTGGGTATCAATACACTGGTGATTGAGATCATTCTATCCTGGGAGGACATATTCCAAATCAAACCTCGGATACTAGAGGAGAATAATTTCCTTAAGGGGACACTGTGCATTCAGTGGGCTTGATCTTTTTCTGATTCTGTTTTTCCAGATTGTGGTACGTTTTTTTACAGATTTTAGTTTTGTCAATTAATTTTTGTTCATCTATTCTTACTGGTTTATTAAACTTTGGTTACTTCGTGTTTCTGCAAAGTTTATTGAAATCAGTAATTTTGGTTTTTAAACATAGATTGCTAACAAAAAACACAATCAATATAAAATATCCCTTCTCTACTTCTATATTTTAACTAGAAAGTCATTTTTTCTAAAATTATTTTCCTTAAAAAAAAATCCCACAAATGTAAAAGAAAATGTTTAAATCATTCATTCCTTATTTCCTTTTTCATTATATATGAAACTTTTTAATATTCATCAACTACATAATCAACAGGCTCAAACTTAAATTTTTTGGTTAAAGTTGAAAAATTACTTTATCATATCATGATCTTATTAATTGGTAAATTACTATTTTCTTCTAATGGATCTGACTAGAAAAATTATTGGAGTTATTTTTTGAAATTTAGGTAATAAATCAACATCAAAGGTATATTTAAAGAAAAGTTTGGTAGGTTAGGTCATTAACAGCCTGCTTGCCTAACCACAATTCATTACTTCTCACACCTAAGTTACACACCATGCATGTAGTCATATTTTAGTTTTTGGCCCATATTTGGCTGACCAATAATTTTGGTATAACACATTGTTAGTTCGTTTATTAGCTTAGTCTATCTTTATAATTGATTGAAATTTCGATCCGCACGTATTTTCCTCTGGGATCCTTACAATTTTTGGACTTAGTAAGAATAGTTTCATCGATGAAACTGTGGAAGGGAGATTGTTTCTTCTATAAGTAGTACAAGTATTGGCGGAGCCACATTGAAGCAAGGGGTTTCAGATGATATACCCTTGCTCAAGATATTTACTTTTAATACATATATATTATAAGTCAAAAATAATGAAATGAATGATAAATACGAGAGTTGGATTTTATGACTTGATACACAAACATGATATAGGATATGTTCAGTAGGTAGGAAAGCAAATTTCAATTAGAATTATTGTTTCGAAAAATAAGTTGCTTAAAAGACGAGGGAGATGACTGCCTGAAACTAGGAAAAACAAGTTCTATACCAACGACCTTCCACATTTGTATTCTCCTCACACACCATCCCCTACCCCCTCACCCCGTAGCCCCCATCCCAACACTTATAACTCCTACTTCTCATAGTA